CCTTTCAGTGTGTGTAAACTGCGTTGTCAATGGCTATCAAGTTAGGAGAATATAAATACATATTAAGTTGTTAGGCTGAAGCTGTAGAACAAATAAAATTGTTAGGTGTTTTGCTTTTCACCTTGATGAGCCTTGGAAAAATTACCAAAGTATGAAAGGCTCTGAACTGAGAAAGTTCTAGAAGCCCTAGCGTAAGAAAATGGTGAAGATTTAAACGTGAAAAACACCAATGATTATTGCTAGTGTTGTTTATACGTTATAATTATGACAATATTACAATTAGCTACTTTGGAGCCCAAGGCAGGAGGATGGCAAGTTCAAGACCTCTTTGGGCTATAGGATGACTTCAAAGCCAAGCTGGGTTAAATGGCGGCAGGGCTGGAGATGTAGTTTAGGGTTCAGTACTTCTCTAGCAAGTATGGGGTCTTAGGTTCCATCCTATTACCACAAAACAACAGCCATACTTAGTAGCCAATAAGGAAATAAACCCTTACAAACTTCAGATTCTTGTGTGTATTGGTTTACTTCATACCTTGACATCTGTACTGGTTAGTTGGTTGGATTTTTGTCTGTTTTGTTTGGTTTCGTCAACTTGACCCAAGCTAGAATCATTTGGGCAAAAAAAAAAAACCTAAGTTGAGGAATTGCTTCCATTAGTAGGCCAGTCTGTAGAACACTGTTTTTGATTTATGGTTGATATGGGAGAGTCAAGCTCAGTACGGATGGTATCAGCCAAGCAGGGATCCCTGGGTTGTGTAAGAAAGCAGGCTGAAGAAGCCATGGAGAGCGATCCGGTAAGCATCACTCCTCATGGTCTCTGCTTCAGTTCCTGCCTCCAGGTTCCTCCACTGAATTTCTACTCTAACTCCCCTTGGTAATGTACTGTTACTTGAAAGTATGAGATGAAATAAACCATCTCCTCCCCAAGTTGCTTCTGGTCAGTGGTTTTTTTTTTTTTTCACAGCAACAGAGAAGCAAACCACGACAACATCCCTAAACAGAATGTTCTTCCACCAGAGAATGGAAAACAGGTTTGAGTCATGGCTGGTGGTGATGGAGGTGGTACTCACACTTAAGCTTCCTGTTCTTTACCAGTGCTGTTGGCTATGGAGATAGGGAGTTGAGGTTGTCCCCTTGACAGAACCATTTACAAAATCAGAGAGTGGAGAGAGGGGATGTTTTGAATTAGGTGAGCAGTCCACACTGACTCCGGCATGGCATAAGATGCTGGAATTCTGGCATGTGAGCCTGATCGCCAAATAGTGACTTCTTTTAGGAATTGTGGACTAGGGCACTAATTTTTCTGAGCCATTTCTAAGGAAGAAGAAGAAGAAGAAGAAGAAGAAGAAGAAGAAGAAGAAGAAGAAGAAGAAGAAGAAGAAGAAGGAGCAAGAGCAGGAGCAGGAGGAGAAGGAGAAGCGGTAGCGGCAGTGGCAGCGGGAAAGAAGGGGAGGAGGAGAGGAGGGGAGGAGGAGAGGAGGGGAGGAGGGGAGGGGGGGGGGGAGGGGGAGGGGGAGAGGGAGAAGGAGAAGAAGAAGGTGGCATGAAGCAATGAAGCAACAGTTTTATAATGCAGTTTCTGTTTAAGTATATCATAACTTTTTTTGACCAATTCACTTGCATTACCTGATTCTCTTGTTCTCCTGCCTCTTCTCAAATATGTCCCTGTCTTAGTTCGGGTCACTATTGCTATGGCAAGATACAATGACCAAAAGCAACATGGGGAGGAAAGGGCTTCTTGGGCTTACACTTCAAAATCACTGTTCATCTTCAAAGTCAGCGCAGGCATTCAAACAGGGCAGCGACCTAGAAGCAGGAGCTGATGCAGAGGTCATGGAAGGGTGCTACTTTGTCACTTGCTCTCCATGGCTTGCTCAGCCTGTTTTATTATAAAATCCAGGACCCACCCTCCCAGGGTTGCCAGCACCTACTAGGGACTGGGCCGTCACTCACCAATCACTAATTAAGAAAATGCCCTACAGGTTTGCTTAAAACCTGATCCTATGCAGGGATTTTCTCAGTTGAGACTCTAAGCTGTGTCAAGTTGACATAAAACTAGACAGGATATATCCACTTTTATTTTTATGTAATCTCTCAGCACCCCCCTCTTTCACACACACACACACACACACACACACACACACACACACACGCATACACAAATGCGACATCTTTTTCTGAGTCCTAGTTCCTAGTTCTCTTAACATTATGCTCTCTTGTTTCATCCATTTTTTTCTTTTACCAATGACACAATCTCATTCCTCTGTATGACTAAAATAAACTCCACTGTACGTGTACACATTCTTCTGTTGATGGGCACCTTGGATGGTTTTATAACTTGGCAAACAGATTGCTCTTCTGTGTCTGCGTCAGCTCTAACAGATGGTTCTTATGGCAATCATGACAGGATGCAAAAGGAAGGCTCAGGTCCTCCTGGTTTTGAGGTCCTCAGCAGTGTGTACTCCTGACTGCTATTATCCTGCCTGCTATTCTTCTTGAGGCTAATCTGGTCAGCAACACTGTAGACTCCCTGAGATCCAATCCATACCATGTCAATAATGTGTACCTGGGTGTGGTGTGATAGTGTGCATTCAAGTGCCCACAGTCCAAGTGATTGCACGTGGAAATCCAGGTACTGACCTCCAGGTGTCTTTCTCAATCACTTTCGCTTTATTTTTGGTGGGCTCTCATAGAACCTGAACGCCATCACTTCAACTAGCCTGCCTAGCAAGCAAGCCCCTGGCACTCGCTTTCTCTACTCGCAGCCGTGAGTTTACAGACTCACGTGTTCAGGTTTTACATCGGTTCTGAGGGTCTAAACTTGGATGTCTATACCTAGGCATCTTGTTATGCTTGGGCAGCAAACATGTTACTAACTGAACTGTCTCTTATATCTTGAGGCAAAGTCTTTCGGTAGCCCGGAGTCTGCCCATTTGGTTTTTCTGGCTGACAGGGAGCCTCATGGGGCTCTGCCTACTTTCATCTCCCTAACCCTAGGATTGCAAACAAGTGTCTATCTTTTTAAACAAACAAACAAACAAACAAACAAACACTCCATGGGTTCTCAGAATAGAACTTTGCCCACGAAGCTTTCTCTCCAGCCCCCAAATCTTCTTTTTTTTTAATTTGATCTAGATTTGATGTTTAGATTAGAGCCCTGAGCATAGCTATAATAAAATATTAATAAAGGACAGGAACTGAAAATGCTGCTATTAATAAATACCCACACTCTAACTTGGGTGTCTTCAGCTTGTAGAGTTCAGCTGCCCCAATGCCTCCCAGAAAGCAGGCAAGGCCCGTGTAGTTCACATCAACAGTGTGAAGGGGGAAGGCTTTCTGCACTGCCAGAGAGGTCAGCCATCTAACCAGCAATTACACTGCTGTCAGATTGTAAATACACATTTGCAAATGCCTCCGTAATTGTTCAGAAATGGCTCAGGCCTGCTCACGCAGGGCTAGTTACAGAATGTTAATGGAGATGCTCACCCAACATCTGCTTTCCTGGTTGGATCCAGATTTGCACCATTTAAACATTTATGAGCATAAAGCAGCGGACTGGGTACTTGCTTCTGCCAACTTTGAGGGGGAAAAAAAAAAACAAGCCAAACCAAAACTCAGCAGCAATGGACACGTCTCTGGCAAACTGACAGGTTTAGGGAGAGCGTCAGATTTCAGCTATAGTTATGAAAATCTAATAATACTACGCAGTAGGATGTGAAATTAGCATTGTGGAGTTGTGGCTATGTGGTTGCACTTACCAGCCTCTCTGACCTTGGCACAGTTTATATCCTAATTATACAAAGAAATCCCTGGTGGGGCTGAGGCATGGTCTGTGGTGATGGCCACTGAGGAGGCGGGAGATCTCAAAGCATGCTATTTAGAATGCTTGTCTCTCTGATTTGGGATTTGTGCTTGAAATTGGTGTTTTATTTGCCATCAGCACACTGGGAGATGGCTGGTTGTATTTGGAGGCAGGAGAGCCTCTCCTGTTTGTCTGTTTCTGCTGTTTTGGAAGTCCTGCCCCTTCTTGAACACATACATCACAGAGGTTTCAGACAAAGAGTCAGAGCTGGGATGTCAATTTTGCTCGCAATCCCTTGAGCTTGGATGAATACTCATCTTGTCATTTTCAAGTATTACAGTATATTTTTTTTTTAGGGTTGCAGCAGCATTGTAATGAAAGGACCCAAAATTACAATGCAGAAAGATGACAGAAGTTTTATTACTGTCATTCATCACCGACCCCTGTGAACCACTCCATTGGAAGGGCTGCTTTGCTTCAGAGTCGCTCACACAGCCAGACGCTGACCATTCATTGCTTTCTGCCATTCCCCTAGGGAATTTCTTCACCTACCTGGTCATGGTTGGGTTGTAGATGTGTCTATGCTGTAGCTCACAGAAGAGACAGAAAGTGGGCCTCCAGAGGAGCTGCCTTTCTCTTAAATCGAATGTAACTGCAAAGTCATATCTCTCCTATATCACACTACTGCAAACTGAACCCAGGGGTCTATTTGATGGCAAAAGGTCCTGGGGAGACTGTTGGCCCAGCTTAATCTCTATTGTTGTGGAATTGAGGGGGGTAAAGTGTGTGTGTGTGTGTGTGTGTGTGTGTGTGTTTGTACATGTGTGTACATATGTGTGGAAGTCAATGCTAGGTGTCATTCCTCTATAACTTGCCAACCTTTTTTGAAACAGAGGCTCTCATTGGCCTGGGGCTTGCCAAGCAGGATAGGCTACCTAGACAGAAAGCCACAGAGATGCCTGGTTCTGTGTCCCCAATGCTAGGATAACAAATGTACGCAATCACACCTGGGTCATCGTACATGAGTGATCGAACTCAGATCTGTATGCTTGTAAGACAGGCACCATATTGGTGGAACTATCTCCTTACTCCCAGGAGGGTAGGTTTGAACAAGGTTAGCCAGAAGTTTTTGCCAGAGGAAACAAAGGCTTAAAAATATATTTCAAATACTTTAAAATAAGATGAATATTGCAAGCCATATATTTGACAAATATTTATTAAGTGCCTACTATGTGACAGATACCCTTAACATGACTGAAAAACGGTGACATTTTTAATGGGTAAAATTGTACTCCCCTGCCAGTGCATTTTTCCAGTTTTGAAAGACTTTTAGTGTTCTAAAGCAGCAACTGGAAGCCAGGCAAGGATCTCTACAGTCACACTGTAGGAAAATATTCACACCTGTCAGATGCCACTCGCTAACGCTGTTGTTCCTAGCATAAGCTCAGGCAAAAAAATGCATGGATGTTCTTTTGGGTTTCGGTGTCTTCACAACTTGCTTGAAGAATATCTACGAAGAAATATCTTTTCACAAGATGGTATCAGGTCACGGAGATCAAACTCAATTTCGAAGGAAGGGCTTTTTTCCAAAATAATTAAGGCAGCCAATACAGCCAGTTTTGAGGTCATCCCCTTGATTACGTACTTCACACCAGTCTCGGGGTCTGTGTACTCAAAGCAGTGTACGACGAAATGGTGGCCAGAGTGTGTGAAGTGTTTCTGGTAGTAGACTTGGGGATGGAGGAAATAGTCCAAAGGCACGAGGAACACATCCTTGACTTCATCAGCATTAGGTTGGGCCTGGAAGTTGTGGTCTAGAAAACCCACTACGGGGGTCACCAGCTCATCATTCTGAAAGCGGGAACCAAAGTTCACAAATTACAAAGTATAGCGATACCGCTTCAAAGATTAAACTCAGGCCACTTCTAGGAGAGGGAAGACCAAAGCTATGATACACTGTGTAAAGTGGGTGGGGATGGCGATCCAGACACAAACATGTCCTCCATATGAGAATGATCCTCCACCTGTGTTGGCATCTGAGAAGACTCTGAAAGTGTGTGTGTGTGTGTGTGTGTGTGTGTGTGTGTGTGTGCGCGCACACACATTGACACACAAACGCTGGTATGATTGTAATAACTATGAAGTGGTGTTATTAAAACCAGGATGCCCTTGGCTTAGGAATCATATTGTGTGACTAATCTACCTTATAGATTTCCTCCATGCAAGCAAAGATACATGGGCAAAGCAGAAGGATTATCTGCAAACAACTCCAAACTCCACAGTGGCTACTTCTCACCTACAGACACCTAGGTTAAAATCTGGTTGAAGTTATACATTGGAATGGTGTCACATACCCTTTCCTCTGGTTGTGGACAGTGGAATGATGTCATATCAACAGAAAAGTGACATGATATCACTTGGGGGGATACTTCTATTTAGAGAAAATAGATTTAGAGTTGCTTAAAAACTACAGGTTTATAATATACATATTTGTATTGTGATGTTTTATTTAGGAAGTACAAATGTTTGCACATGGCCCTGAGTTTCTACTGGATGGAGGGTCTTCACCTCTACTGGAAAGCCTGCAAGGGAGACAGGGACTGAACACAGGTATGGTCTCTAGTTTGAAGTTCCTGGGTCATCAGAAAGAGACTGAGGAAACCCAGAGGCAGGTACACTGTGAGATGGGTGTCGAAAGAAGGTTAAACAGGCCCATGGGAACCTCTCATGGGAGGATGCAGCCAAAGAGTGTTTAAGAGTGGAAACAAGCCATACTATTAACTATACCCAGGGTGAATGACAACCTTTGGATAGAGAGGAGACAAGAGGAACATAGACCGTAATGGCTTTAGGACAGTAAATCTGAGGTCATAGGTCACCAAGACCCTCTGCCTTGCTGGGTCCTACATAAGGTCACACTCTCAGAGGTCATGGGATTTCCTAGAGCAGATACTGAACCAAGGGCTTAGATATAAGCAATTTCTTACTAAAATGCTGCCAGGAGAAACTGGTGAGAGGGTAAGGAGGGAAGGCAACAGCTTGGTGAAGAAGGCGGGCAGGGTGTTGTGGAGAATACTCTACCTAGAGACAAGGAACTGGGTTTCCATGATCAGCCCCAGCCGCTGATGGAGGACAGCTTTGCAGAGTGTCTATCCAGGGACTTCTGACTTTCTGTGTGTGATGTCCTTCAAGCTATCTCCACCTACCCAGTGGTGAGCTCTTAGCAGAGAGTTGCTAGCTACCAGAAACACATAGAGGGATGGAAGGATGGATGAAGAGGTCTCAAGAGAACTCCAACAGGGTATGCCAGAATGAACTGTTCTACTATGATTCCCAGAGCAATGGGGCCAACTAACCATGGGATTAGTACCTCCAAATCTATGAGCTGAAGTATATCTTCCTTCTATGTTCTAGTTTCATTTCTACTGCTGTGACAAAACACTACCAAAATTCACTTTGGGACAGAAAGAGTTATTTGTCTCACAACTCTAGTTCATAGTCCATTACTGAGGGAAGTCAAGATAAGAACTCAAAGGAGGACCAGCTTGCTATTCCACACAGAATTACCTCTGAGCAAGGACTTCAGTTCACAGCCAAAGAAGTGAGGCAAGAACCACAGGTGATGCTGTTTGCTGGCTCTCTGGCTGGTGTATGCTTAGGTAGCTTTCTTAGAGTCTAGGGCCACCTGCCTAGGGGATGGTACTACCCAGAGTGGGCTGAGCACTCCTGCATCCATTAACTACAAAGAAATGCCCTACCCTGATACACACACACACACACACACACAGAGAGAGAGAGAGAGAGAGAGAGAGAGAGAGAGAGAGAGAGAGAGAGAGAGAGAGAACAATCTGATCTAGATAATTCTGTTGAGACTCTACCCAGGTGATTCTAGGTTGTGGCAATTTGACATTTAAAACTAGCCATTATACCCTATAAGTTGCTTAGCTCACGTATTTGTTAAGAGTAACAGAAAGCTGACTGAGGCATCCGTGAACTCCCTTATTCTGTCCACCCATGTACAACCCAGTAGCTCCCAGGGATAGTGGAAATGAAGCTACTCTCATCTGAGGAACTTTTAACAGCTCTAGCTTAAACAGTCAATAAGGGTCTAAGCTCAACTACCCAAAATGTGTTGTGAAATTTGCAGTCGATTGAAAGATCACATTAAAAAATGTGTCTAAAGAGGAAGAAGCTGACATATTTCCCTCTTACTACTGTTCTCTACTCTCTGCCTGTGTCTCCCTATTCCTGTCTTACTGTCTCTGTGTATCTGTCAACTGGATACAATCTGAAATGTAGAATGGGGTCAAGGGCAGAAGGGAAGACAATAGGAAAAGTAGCTAAGAAAGTGCGGTTCATAATAATGTTCTAACCTTGTTTCTTAGTTGTGGCCAATGTACCACAGCAGTGTCAGGCATCATGGGAGATCCTGGGTGTCATGACACGAAAACAGATGACATCTAACCTGTCATCATTCTGGACACGCCTTTAAACAGTTATAGTACATTTATACTGATAAAAATAATGCTGGAATACAAGATAAAATTGACCCCTGAAGTTCATCCGCACAGCAGTGACTGTTACAGAGTAACAGTCTATGAGAGCCAGCTATCCCAGCTCCAGGCTTTCCTATGCTGTTTGGTTTACAGGATATAGAAGTCTCCAGCCACATAGGAGTGCAGTGGCAAACAGTGGCAGTTTCTAGGCAACTTGTCAAATACTCTTGTTCTTCTTTCAGACTCTTACCCTAGTCTAACCAAGAGGGGCCCAGGGGCTGAAAAGCTGGTTCAGCAGTGAAGAGCACTTGCTGTTCCCACAGAGGACCCGAGTCCAGGTTCCCAGCATCCTTCTCAGGTGGCTCCCAACTGTCTATAACTACCGTTCTAGTGGATTTGACACTCTCTTTTGACTTCTGTGGGATTCTGGATGTCTAGTCACCCCACTACATATACATAAATAAAAGTAAAATCTTCTTTTAAAATTCCTTAACCACGAGGTCTTTTAACTGAAGGACATCTAGTATATCTTAAAACTGCCATGAAAACATCAAGTGTGAGAGATCATTACAGATACAAGGACCACAGCAATGTGGCAATCAACTCAGGGCGGCGGTATGTAAGATGATGCTGAGGAGAGAAAGGCCCCTAGTCCTGTGACAAGAAGACTCTGTCTCAAGGTGTGCATCAAAAATGAATGCCATTAAACAGAAAACATTGGGCCCCTCCAAGGGGATATCATTTAGTATGCTGTATAATAGTGCATTGTTTTCAACTGACTTCTTAAAATCAACGTATCCTGGAGAAAAGTATACACCAACTGAACATCGTGGAACAGTTCTGAGTATACCCAGAGTTCCATGGGAAAATTCTGAAACTCACTGAGGTAGCTCGCCTCTTTCTTCCTGGATGGAGTGAGAAGGGCTCCACAGAGCTCACGGGGAGCAGAGTGCACACAAGGATCCAGTTCTCCTGTCTCTGTGCCCAGTGCTCTTGGGAATTATGTGGAAGCCCCTGAGAACTCAGGAGGGTCCGTGCCAGTACTTACATTTAACAGGTATGGCACCAGGTGAGAGACGACCTCCACTTGGTGGGGATGCAGCCCCACCTCCTCCTGGGCTTCACGGAGAGCAGTGGCCGTGTCATCTGTGTCCACAGGGTCCCTCTTTCCTCCAGGAAAGCAGACTTCTCCAGGTTGCCTTCTCAGCTGGGGGATTGGAAGAACAAAGTTACAAAGCGAGATTTCAGTTTTAGAATCATTTAGGCATTCAACAAACATCGACTCAGCCTCTACAGGGTCCAGTATATGTTTTTCCTTGAATCCTTAAGACAAAGCCATACACCAAAACACCAGGGCTGGTGAAACGGACTCAGCTGGTAAGGGCACATATGAGTTTGAATCCCAACCCAACATGGTGGAAGGAGAAAAGTGTGATGCTTTAAAGTTATCCTCTGACCTTACATGAATGCCATGGTACACACGTGCGCCCATTCAACACATACACACATGTGTATGAACACACATGCAACTTAATTTATTAACTATTTTAAACATCAATAACCTTATTAGAAACGTTGGAAGATGTCTGTTTAGAAAAATACCCCATCATGAAGCGACAAAAAATTTTTTCTCAATATTAATATTAAATTCAAGTTTGCTACTTATTTTTGTAGCGTGTGTGCTACTTTTATATTTTACCACATACTCCTTAGATAAGATTTTTTTAACATATTATATCTAGTACCTATAGGTCCTGAGACTACCCCTGATGGAGATCATAATTTAACTATATAAACAATGTATGTAATTGAAGAAATATAAAACTGCATAGAAAAGACACCTAAAGATGCAGATTTATTTTGTTTGGCAAACTCACAAGTCCATAAATTTTTTTTCTGATTTTAATTCATTGATATATTTTAAGTGTTGCTATTTATTCAAGATATATATATATCATAATTCTCTTACGTCTCCTGCCTCCTTTTCTCTTCTCACCCATTAGCATTCCCTTAGTCTCCATAAGCAATTTTCCTTTTATATCACACACACACACACACACACACACACACATATATACACACACACACATACATGACTTTATGTGTCGATATAAAATGGAAAAACTACAAGAAAATGAAAACAGTACATGGTTAAGTCCAGTAGCACTCATTTTCTCACAAATAGTATGCTTTTGCTTTTATTTCTTCTAATTTTTCACTTCATATATATCCATCCCACAGTTTTCCTGATCCATTGCCTCTGCCAGTAGCTATCTATGTTGATTCTGTAATTAATCTTTTGTGACTAGTGCTGCTAGGAATACTGATGTGGAAATCTCTCTGTGATTAGTTAGCAATGCAATACTTTGGTTCAAAAGAGTGGAATATCTGGGGTGCATGGAACATCATTAAACATGGTTTAATTTTTATTTTAAACCTCCAATATGCAGGGTGGTGGTGGCGCACGCCTTTAATCCCAGCACTTAGGAGGCAGAGGCAGGCGGATTTCTGAGTTTGAGGCCAGCCTGGTCTACAGAGTGAGTTCCAGGACAGCCAGGGCTATACAGAGAAACCCTGTCTTGAAAAACCAAAATAAAATAAAATAAAATAAAATAAAATAAAATAAAATAAAATAAAATAAAATAAAATAAATAAAAATAAACCTCCATTACTGACATCCATCCTGCCTAGACTAATTTATGTTCCTAGCAGGCATGTACAAAGGTTCTTTACTGCCCCCAACCCCACCCCCTCAAACAGTTAGAAGAAAATGTCAATAAAAATTTTTCAAAAAGTAAGGTAGTGATTGAGGAAGACCTCCAATGTTGACTGCTGGTTTCCACACCCATGTAAACACACACACACACACAAATACAGCTTACAGTAATAACCTTGCAGATTTCTCTCATTCCTGATTTTTTTCCTCTACATGCCTGTAAAAGACAACATAAACACAGAAGCAGACACACACCAATGAGGGTTATAAAAGCTAAAAGGAAGGATACTATAGACACTATTATCAACAGATGATTTTTTTCAATCTTTTATGGGTGCTAGGATTTTTCTATAAGCTGTTATGTTTGCAGAAAGATTGAGATGGGGTGTTAGACAGCCCAGTCTGGCTCAAATTTGCTATGTAGTCAAGATGACCTTGTTCGTTGACCTCCTGCTCCATCTCCTCAGTGCAGGGATCAGGGTTTGCACCCTGTGCCTTGTTTTAGGCCGTGCTGGGGATCAGACACAATGGTGTGTTTATTATTATAATGATGTACAACTCTACCTAATATCTAGTTTCAGAACACTTTCCCCATTTCCAAGAGGAAACCACAGCCATTAAGTGTTCTCTCCCTACTCCCTGGTCTCTGCTTTCTATCCGAATGGAATTCCAGTTTGTTTCATGGGAAACACATGGCATGTGACTCACGTGTCTCAGAGTTTCATTGGTGACGTTTTCCCATGTTGTATCACTGGTCAGTGATTAACTCCTCTCTGGCCGAATAGTATCCCTTTGTTTGTACAGATCACAAAGTATCTCTATTAATGGACACACAGACAACATTAGATTACCATTATTTCTATTTTCCCAGAAAGGGTAAGGTACCTAGAGGTTAAATTACCTGAAGAAGTTCACACAATGAGCTATAAATTACAGTTCAATTCTAGACACTGTATCCTTAATTACCACACTATCTTTTAAGAGTTTCTAGGGCCACCAGGGTGACTCAGCTGGTAGAAGGGTTTGCTATGCAAGCCCAATGACCTGAATTTGATCCCTAGAATCCACACAAAAAGCTGGATCTGATGGCATGCGTCTTCAGTTCCAGAATCCTTACAAACAGGCAGAGGCAGGAGATCTGGCCAGAAGCTTGAACTTTCCTCTATTAGTTAGCCATCGTTCTACAGAATGTGAGCCTAGCTGGCATAAGCTCAAAGAGCAGGGTTTGGGATCCCGTCGCTGGGAAATGAAGAGATAGTCATGAGAGAACCCGTCCAATGACAAGGTAGGAGAGAAGTGACTCTCAAAAGTTGTCCTCTAACACCCTTACAACAGGCCAGGGCACGTGCATGTTCATACTCAGACACACATATTAAATAGATGGATAGATAGATAGATTAAATAAATAAATAAATAAATAAATAAATAAATAAATAAGCAAGCATTTGCTAAAACACAGTATGGCCGAGGAGCCATCACCATACAGAGAGATAATACTAATACTAACACTAATAATCGGCAGATTGGGATAAAATAAAATAAATTGGTAAAATAATAATAATTAATAATAATAATAAATAGAGGTTTATTTTTGCTGACTCACATGAAGAATGGGGAAGCTCTCTTTCCTTGTTTCTCCACCCATGTCACTGACTCCCCTCCTTTCTGGTTTTAGGACCCTGTGTCTCTGTCTGTGGCGTCCCAGTCATTTCTTCCTTTCTGATTTCTGAGAGGTGCAGCCCTGGTCCTTCTCTTTTCTGCCGTGCCAAACTTCTCAGCCAGCCCAGCCCAGTTTCTCTTACACTCTCACCTATCCATGTCACTGTCCTCTCTAGCCATCTGCTGCAAGAGCCTGACTCAGCAGGGTTCTGGGGCCAGCTTCTTGCCAACTGTGTGCAAAGAGCACGGCAGCATGCACCTATTAGAACCACAGGGCAGTTATGTGAGCTGAGGCTGCCGTGAGTGGAGTTGTGCCTAGCGCCCAGGCAGGGTGATTTAATGAGGTCCTCTAAAGTCAGTTCTTGAAGTCCAGAGTTGAACTGAGATGTTCTGTTGGCATTTTTAGCACCTGGGGTGACAGAGCTGTATAAGGAAAGCTAGAAGAGGGCTTTGGTCTGAATATCTGTTTCTTCAAATGTTGAAATCCTCGGTCACAAGGCAATACCATTTGGAGTTGGGGCTCTTGGAGAAGCATAACGACAAGTCCTCATCAATGAGTTAAAGCATTTATAAAGGAAGTGCACAGACAACTGTTGCTTTTTTCATGCCATGAGCACACAGGGAAAACCATCATCTGTGAAGTAGAAAGAGAAGGCAGCACCGAGTGCTTGATCCGCAGATGCCTTGATATTGGACTTCCCAGCCTCCACAAGCACAGGAAACATTTTTTGGTTCATAAGCCATCCAGTATAACGTATTTTGTTACAGTCCTTTGAGAGGACTAAGGGTGTTATGAACTTTATTTAGGTTTCTATAGCTGATTACTCTGCCTTAGCAAGCTTGTTATTTTCATTCATTCATTCATTCATTCATTCATTCATTCATTCATTTTATTTGGCAGTGTTTAGGGTTGAGCCAGGGTTTTGTGCATACTAGGGAAGTATTCTGTCATTGTGCTTCACTCCCAGCCCTGGACAAGACGTTTGGAAACATAAAACATGCACAGTTCCTCCCTGCTATAAATACAGAGTTCTAAAAGATTGGCCTCAGATATCCTCTCACCAATGGCAGAAACCGGAATGGGAAGAGGAAAGCTGGACCATTTTCCGTCTACTGCAACATGTCTTACAAAAGACTTAAAAAACACACTTCCTGTTACATCACCTCTAAAATGCGATTTATTGTTTGCACATTCAACACTGCAGTAGCCGGTGACAGGGGCATCCTCAAGGACTTAACCGGGCTTGATAGAAATACAGACCTGATTTAAAATATGTTTTGAAAGCTCTTCAAAGAGACCCAGAGCACCCCAATTCAATTCAAGTGGCCTTCCATCTCAACTCCAATTAATAGGGAACAAGGACCTTTTGGATTCCTGAGAACTCTGTCCACTTTTAGAAAATGTTCTGCTGTGTTGAAGCAGGAGCATTAAAAACAAACAAACAAACAAACAAACAAACCCCAGCCCAACCCTTCACAGGTTGTTGGGACCAGAAAGGGCTCTATTGACACATAGGAGCTTAGAATTTTTTTCCATCTATAGATAGTGTAAGCTGCATGTATGTCTGTTGGGTGTACATGTGTGTTTGTGTGGGTCCACATGGTTACATGTACATGGGGAAGCCAACAGCCAACTTTGGGTACCACTCCTTACCTGTCGTCTTCACTGGGTTCTTTTGTTTGGTTTTTTATTTTAAGATTATAATAGAATTCAATCACTTCTTCCTTCCCTTTCCATTCTCCCCAAACCCTCTCATATGCACTCTTCCTTGTTCTCTTTCAAAATCATGTCTTTTTACATTGTTTTTGCATCAGTTATTTAGTGTATATATGTTATAGCCTACTTAGTGAGCCCGAGGCCAGCAAGAGAGTGTCTCAAACCCAATGTAGCGTTTGACACGACTAAGAAACACTCACAAACGCTCCCCAACATGATGGCCTAAACTTGAGTTGACCAAGGATGCCATCAAGAGACATGTCAAAGAGGAGGGGGGAAAGCCCAAGAGGCCTCCACGCTACACAGAGAACTTGAGGCAACTAAGGAGTAGTGAGAAGAGGAGACATTGTCTTTCCCAGAGAGGAACACTTTAGTTGGTTATCCAATCCCAAATGGTCAGCCCTCGAAACATGTACGAGTAACATAACACGGACTGAGGAGGTCCTATTCAAGAATATATATGTACACACATACACGTGCATGCACACACACACACACACACACACACACGCACGCACGCACACGCACACGTAAAAACATTCTCCCTTCCCCAGTTGCAGGGTGTGAGACTGGCATGGAGAAGCGTGCTTCGACCCGTATGAGGGGAATACACCTCAGCTGACCTGCCCCTTCCACCTCTCTTCCCTCATACCTGTTGTACGGTCTTGCAATCCTTCCTGGAAATGCAAGACCCTATTTCCTTTTCTATGACCTGCCTGGAACTCATCCGACTGCCACCAAAACCTCCCTTCTTCTGAGATCTACAAGAAGGGCCTCTCCTACTCCGCCACATAGACATGATCTTGTATCAGAGCCCCTACCATGCAGTCTGTCTGTCTGCCCATGATATTATTAACTCTTCTAATACGTATCTTACCCAAAAGGACATTCCACTTAATGGTCCCTTGAACACTATAACCCTGAAATCTTTCAGCCTGAAAGGCCCCAGACTCCAGGACTCTGGGCCTCTGAAAGGTCTCTAAGATCTCTGACCTTACCCATGCTGGACAGGGCAAAGAGAAAAACAAGAAGGGAAAAATAATCGATGTCAATGATCACACAAATGTGTGACAGACACCGAGACAGTGTGGCTCTGTCGCATACTGCACACAGGACAGCTTTCAGTCCCATCTGCAGATAGGAGAAAAACGAGGTTATATGACATTCAAATCTCTGCTCCAGCACCAGTGAGATGGGACTCCACTCATGAAGCACTTTTGGTGATATCCTGATGCCTACATTTGATCCTTAGGAGCCTCATGAAGGTTGGCGAGAACAACCTCCATGAAATTGTCCTCTGTTCTCCACATTTCCACCATAGCATACATGTCCCCTCCCCCAACACATTCAACAACAACAACAACACAATAGATTTTTAAAAGGAAAAAAAAAAAAACAACCTTCCAGAAGTAGGCCTGGTGATACATGCCTGTGATCCCAGCTGGTTGGGGTGTGGAGACAGATGGATCTAAGTTCAAGGTATGACGGGGCTACTTCAAGACCAGTTTTGGCAAATTGGTGAGACAGTGCCCAGGAGCACCCGCAGGGAGCACTCTGCTTCCCTCTTTCACAGACAGGTAGGGCTTGCAGTCAGAGTGAAGGGGATTTTAACTATTTTTTAAATGACCTTGAGGAGCTGGAGAGATGGCTCCATGGTTAAAATGGCTTGTTCTTCTTGCAAAGGATCCAGGTCCAGTTCCCAGCACTCACATGGTGGCTCGTGACCACCTAGGACTCCAGTTCCAGTGTATTCAGTATTCTCTTCCCACCTATGCGGGCACTGAGCACACGTGGTCCACTTATATTCATTCATTCATTCATTCATTCATTCATTCATTCAGGCAAAGCACTCATAACACACGCAGAAGTAAATCTTTAAAATTAAAAGTAAATAATAAAAATGACCTTTATAATCATCAGGCATAACTTGTTATCAAATCATTACCACTGGCCAGAGGCTTTAGTCTTATATTGGCTTTATTGTTTTTCTGATAATCAACACATACACACACACACACACACACACACACACACACAGAAAGAGGAGGTTATAAGCACTTCATCTGTGCTTAGGAGCAGAGCCAAGAACAGATTTCACTTCCTTGGTTCCAGCTGAGTGTCTCTCTCCTTTGAGAAACTGGATTTTGACCACTACATGGGCGTGTATCACTTCCTTGTCCTACAGTAAAAAGGATCACCACAGTTCTGTTGAAATCAGGGTATTTGGGGGCCGGAGAGATAGTTAAGAGCACTGTCAGCCTGGGTTTGATTCCCAGAACCTACATGTCATCTCACAACTGCCTGTAACTCCAGCCCCAGGGCTTCTGATACCCTCACACAGACATACATGAAGGCAAAATACCAATGTACATGAAATAAGAGTAGATTATATAAAAAAATATGAATCGGGGCATTTATTTACGCATTTTTATTTACATACATATGCTATCAGTGAGACATTTTTTAATTATTCTGCTTGAAAGGCCATGCTATTTTGTGGTCTATTTATTTCTATCTTGAAATGGCCATTTCTTCAACTCTGGGAAATAGTTCCAACAGTAAGGAAGGGCAACTACATGGGAGAGACAGGAACACATAGCGTGGTATGGCTATAAACTGAGAGGGTTCATAACTTCAGCCCTGCATTCAACATGGGCAGGTGGCTCCAGGGCTAGCCCACTAACAGTATGTTCTAGTTTACCTGAGGTGGATTAGTCTAACAGAGCCATTGTGGATGGGGTAATTTTCCGTTCCAATCTGCCAGGATTACTGGCACTGTCTGGAGACACAATGTCATCACTCAGATATGCCTGTGTGTGCTGTTGACATGGTAGAGGTCAAGACGACCCTAAATATCCAACAGTGCACAAGAAGGCTCCTCAAGGAAGAGCGGTTTGGACCCAAAGGCTGCTTAAGCACCAACACCAAAAAAACCTGGTCTAAAAGTGTTTTCTATTTCTTATAAGATAAATTTCTTTTTCTTCTTCTTCTTTCTAAAATCTCTCTTCAAAATCCTATGTCGGGTTGAGTGGGCAGCTCAGTGAGTACAAATGTTTGATTGTACAAGTTTGTGTCTCAAGTTTATGAGGTCGAAATGGCTGTGCATATCTGGACCTCCACTTCTGAGGTGGGGTGGAGAGAGCTTGTGGCAGGATAAAGCCATGGCTATACTAAAACCACAAGCTCCAAGTTCAGTGAGAGGCTCTGTTTCAAGACAACAAAGCAGATAGTAACAGAGGAGCCACTCGTTGTCTTCCTCTGGTCTCTATAGTCATGTACACATACACACACAGACACACACACACACACACACACACACACACACACACACACAAACACACACACATTAAAAAATGAACACTAAGACTTAAAATTAGCACTTGGGAGGCAGAGAAAGGCAGACTGTCATAAGTTCAAGGCCAGCTTGAGCTACAGAGCAAACAAACCCGTGTCTCAAAATCATCAACCAAACAAAGAAAATCCCATTTCATCCTGTGCTTCCGATATTCCTCCAACACCAATGCTATTGAAAGTTCATTTGATAAAAGCAGCCTTGAAATGAGGAGGAAGTGACAGAAGGGTGTTTTTTTTAAAGCCCTGAGATGATGTCATAAGAGCTTCTTGTCACCTACCTTGTCTGAGCGGACGGTGAACAGCAAGTACAGCTTTCCTCCTCTAGCCAACAATGGCAGAAGGACAGAGTATTTATTAGAGGACAAGTGGGAATACCTGGTTCCGACATCAAACTTTCTCAAGCGGGCCTTGGCATCATCAATTAGATTGCTTCTAAGAGGAAGACAAGACAAAATCTCAAGTAAGCAGAGCTGTGGCAGCAAGCAAGCACCTAGCCCTGCCAATCTGTGTGTGTGTGTGTGTGTGTGTGTGTGTGTGTGTGTGTTGGGGGGTAAAACCTGTGTGTATATACCTTGGATTTCATTTCTGAGTCTCATTATAGCTTTTCAATAACCTGGCAGAAATCACAGTACTCAAATGGCATGTGTTAGCAAGATTGACTGAGGCAAAAACACCAAGTCCACATTGCATATGTGAGTTGGCTTGGAAAGGCAAATTAAATCTAAAATTCCTGTGTAAGCCAGGCTATGCATGTATGTAATATCTGCATGTAAGAGGCAACGGCGGGAGACCCTGGAGTTAATGGTTATCCTCAGCAACATGGTGAGTTCAAGGCCCAGCTATGACACATGACACCTTACCTCAAAAACCCAAGCCAAAGCAAACCAATCCAAACCAAACCAAACCAAACAGCAAGGACATATGGTAAAACATTCCCCCAATAACCTGGCACTTGAACTTTTATCTGTAAGTAAACTGGACCTCACTTTAGTCCCAGCTATTTGGGAGGCTGAGGTAGGAGGATGACAAGTTCAAGGCATCCTTGGTTTACAGAGTAAGTTCAAGGTCAGCCTTGAAGTCTAGGCTATGTTCCAAAATAAAAAAAAATAAAAAATAAAAGAGGGATTTGGGATATAACTCAGTAGCAGGGCAGTTGCTGAGCAAGGGAGGCCCTGGTTCTGTTCCTAGAGCTTTGGGGGAAGAAATACTATTGCTATATGCCGACAGGAAAGACGCTCCAAAAACTCTTTATGCAGCTTGCCTGGTCCTTCTGCCATGTTCACATACCCAGACACCCTGTAATAGTAATTCTCAAACTCAAACAGCCACAGGATCTACTACAAGGCTGCTCCCAACAGACTTCGGGATATACCCCCAAACCTGACTCAGTGCCTGTGAAGTAAGGCCTGAGAATGAGTACTTGATCCCACTTCCAAAGTGACAGTTGCTACTGTGGCAGCTCAAGAGACTGCGCTTTGAGAATCATTACTGGCGGCTACAGAAAAATTTAGATTCACCAGCACAAATGGTACCACTTTCATGTGGCTCTTTCTGAATCCTTCACACAAGCTTTCTGCTTTCTGCTGCTTGTCTGCATGGTGAGTTGGATAGTGACCTCGTTCATGTCAACTTGGGGATCTGGGAATGTGGCTATATTCAGAAATGGGATCTTTGCAGATGTAAATAGTTAAGGCTCCTGAGATAGTATCACCTTGAATTTAGAGGAGAACTCCCAATCCAGTGACAGGTGTCTCTGAAGGAAGAGGCTGTAGACACACACACACACACACACACACACACACACACACACACACACACAGAGGGGGGCATGGGGATGGGGACCCAAGAGCTGCTGCTATAAGCCAAGGATGACCAGAAGGCACCAGAAGCTGGAAGGGGAAAAGAAGCATCCCTCGAGACTTCTGATTCTGTTCCTGCTGACACCTTGATTACGGACTTCAGACATGAATAAGGGACCTTCAGACCCAAGAGAGGCTAACTGCTATTCCTTAAGCCATACAGTTTGTAGGACTTTGTCACAGTGGCTGTAGAAAGTATACATTAATTTTCATTATTCTGTAGTACGATTGTGCAAAAGCAGATGTTTAGGTCAACCAGAACTCATTCCATCTCAAAAAAGTGGGTGGAACCAAGTGTGGTAGCTCACACTTGTAATCTCCTAGTGCTTTCGAAGCTGAGGCAGGAGGACTACCAACAGTTTGAGATCAGCCTGGGCTACCCATGGCAAAAAATATTGACATCGTCTCCTGGAGCCTCAGAGTCCTCATCTGTAACGTCCTTGAGGGTAGCCGTGAAGATAAAGTGGCCAGTTCAGCACAAGGTGGCCCTCAGCTGTGAGTGGTCATCACTAGCGCATCCTTAACAAGCCTTTGGTTAGAGGGGTTTGCTTGTTCTCACTGCCCCTCCCCCTCCATGTGACAGAGAGCTGGCTGCAAACCAACCAAATGTCCCGGAAAGGGTAAAGGAAAGCTGGCACACAGTACAGCCAATGCTCACAGGCCCCTGTTCAGAAAAGACAATTAGCCAGCCAAGGAGAAAGAAGGCTTTTAAAGAGCCCTTAGAACTGCCCAGAGGCAGCAGGGAAACAAAGATCTAGAAACTGTCTCGAGACTATACCATCAATATAGAAGTAAGAGCTCTGAACAGGGCTGGCCCACTCTTGTGTTGAGTTCTCAGGACAGCCCTGTAATATATGTGAGCCCACGCTGGGAGCAGTATCTTGAGCAAGAATCTCCAGCAAGAGTGGAAGAAGCCACCCAGGAACTTGAACTCGCTCTGCCTGATGGGGTTCTGAAGTTCCGCTGTGGAGGTTACTGAAGAGTGACTCAGATTGGCAAAAGGGAAACGCCGTGACCTTGGGGGATGAGGACATGCCTGCGTGTGTGTGAATCTTGTTAGGTGAAATCCAAACTCTATCCCCAGGAGCAGAAGAGCAAAGTTCCTCCGGCTGGAGGGGAGCTCTGAGGAGCCTGAACTGCACGGTGGATAGGCAGGGCGTCAGACTCAGGCCTTCACAGCGATCAGAGCCCCACTAGGTCGGGCTCCAATTCCTGGAGCCAGATAGCTTTACCTGACAGGCTCCCGGAGTCCACAAGGTCGCGACATCAGCCCTGCAGTACCTTTCTTTCCAGCGACTGGCGGCTTCAGGAAGCAAACAGCTCTGACGTGCATGCGCATAGTAGCATAGTAGCCCCAGCCAGGAATGAGGGCGGGGACTCTGCAAGGGAGGAGAGGCTGAGGGCGGGGCGCTTCAAAGAGGCCCGAAGGTCTCGGACCCGGGAGGGGCGGGGCCTATAGGTGGGCGTGTTCAGGGCGGAGTTAGGTCCGAAGGTGGTGCTGACCGTTTTTTTTTTTTTTTTTAAAGTGTTGAAATACACTAGAAATGTTTGTGGTCTAGTAGCTTGAGCTTCTTCAAAACCATTGAGCATGCTCACATACAATGAGCAATTGTAAAAAGTACTTAATTAAAAAAAAATTACGCTTGCCAGGCGTGGTGGCACATGCCTTTAATCCCAGCACTGGGGAGGTAGAGGCAGGCAGATCACTGTGAGTTCGAGGGCAGCCTGAACTACAAAGTGAGTTCCAGGACAGCCAGGACGGTTACACAAGAAACACCTATGTCTCGCAAAAACAACAAAACAAAATATTACACTTTACTTGCTAGTGTGTGTATGAGTATGTGTGTGCCATAGCACATGTATGAAGGTCAGAAGACAACTTGGAGGAGTTAGTCCTCCCCTTCCACCCTGTGAGTTCCCGGGTTGGAACTCTGATAGGAGGTAGGCTGGGAAGGGAAAAGGAGGCTGGATGGAGAGTTAGGGTCTTGGAAAACCAGGCTGAGCTCCTCACTCCAGGCCAAAGGAGGGTGTCTAACATGTAGCTCCCCCACCCCCACCCTGCCAGTATCAGTGTCTCCAGTGTCCTGCTGTAATGTAGACTGCCCAGAAGCACACACCTACTGAATCCCAGGAGGGTGGCAGGTCTCCAGTGTAGGTAGCTGCTGCTGTCTGCCGCTTGCACCAGCTTTCAGGGATGAACTGCCTAGCAATTGGAGATCCAGGAGAGTAAGCTCATGGAGCAGGGAACTGCGCCATCACCTCACATAGAGCTGGACAGAGAGTGTGCGGGGAGACTGGTAGGAACTGAGACTAGGGTAGGGGCAGGGCAGGCTTCCTCAAAGACTGGCACGGTGTCTGACATACATACTTAAAGATGTGCTTTACAATCCATATATTCTTCCATAATGTCACACATAAGTACAATGTATCTATTGTAAATGATTACAGTAGTATTCACTTCCCATACCCCCTCCTCTTTTAACTCCCAGAATCCCCCAACCACATCTGCCTCCCAAACTGATGTCTTCTACTTCTCTTTTATTTTTTTCTTCTCTTAAGATCCAAAGAAATCGAATGTAAAATTAAGTAATACATAAGAATGAGTCAAAAATTGAATTACATTCATTCTTACATCAGTATAGTAAAAATACAATTCATTGTATATTATTTTTAATGGAAGAATAATTCCATAAATTCAAGAGTACTTAGGACTCATGAGAGTCCCATTATGGCTAAGGGAACAGTTGTCCACAGTTCCCAAGATTTTAAGTTTATTTTTATTTATGTATATAGGTATAAGTCTGTTTGCATGCATGTTAGAATTACCAGCATGTAAATGCCCCAATGTGCCTTCTGGGAACTGAACTCTGGTCCTCTGAAAGAACAATATATTGTGCGTTTTAACTGCTGGGCCAACTCTCCAACCCCCATTCCCAAGACTTTTAAAAAGCACTAAACCTGGCTGGGCATGATGGCACATGTCTTTAATCTTGTACTTGGAAGGCAGAGGCAGGTGGATCTCTGTGAGTTCAAGGCCAGCCTGGTTTACAGAATGAGTTATAGGACAGCTGGAGATGTTACACAGAGAAACCCTGTTTTGTTTTGTTTTAAATCACTAACCCAGCACCCTGGGGTTTGTCTGGTTATCTGAGCAGTACAATACCAGGAGAAGCTGAGGAAGGTCCAAACCAAGAACACCATGACATCCTAATAACACTGATAGTCACACTCCATATACATCAGTGTCAATCGTCAGAGCAAGGTGCTGGGGAGACGGCTCGGTGGTTGACACACTTGCTTGTAAGGATCCTCAGAATCCATGTGAATGTCAGGTAGGCATAGTGTTATACCGATAATTCCAGCCTGGGAGAGTAAAGACAGGGTATATTCCCAGACCACTAGCAAGACGGGCCATATCAGTTAACTCCGGGTTTGATGGAGCTACCTTTGCTCAATGAATATGGTAGAAGACAGTTGAGGCTGATTCTCAGCATCAGCCTCAGAGCACCAAATGCACCTGCACATATGTACTCACACCAACACACCACACACGTAAACACACACATACACTCATGCTTGAACATGTGAAAGTGAGGGAAAAAATTCCTCAGAGAGACAATGAGTAGGGTTATTTCTACAATGATGGTATTGCCATTCTCTCTCTCTCTCTCTCTCTCTCTCTCTCTCTCTCTCTCTCTCTCTCTCTCTCTTCATTAGAAAATAGAAATATTGAGGCTACATCATTCTGACCTCTGAGCCCTGTATTTCAACATACCCGAGAGAAGCAAATGGCCTGTTGATTGGGTGTGTCTGACCATGAGGGAAAAATAAAGGACTCCTCATGTAATATCCATGACATAGCTGATTGTGAGAAGTACAGGGCCATGGCTGAGACACAAAGCCTTGGCCTTCAGGCCTCACAGTCTAGAGAAAGGACTGTAAACACAACCCACCTCTCTAGTCGTTTACAATGTGAATAGGAGGGGACGATGACCATGACTCAGAGAGTTGAATTAAAGACTAAGAATTCAGTCTGAGAAGTCTCTTTTCTTCAGACTTCTATTGATGGACTCTTTGTCCTTAAAGCTGCTCGGAGCTGAGACTGAAAGGTTTCAGGTGTCTTCACACTGCCACATGATAAATGATTTCTCACCTGTCAAAATGAGCCGGTTCAAGCTAGATTAGAATATATAAAGGCAGGTTGATTAGGAAGCAAACTTTGAGGCAGGTTCACTGGTCCTAAGGATTGAGGCCAAGATAGTGACATCACCGTGGGGGAGGGGAGAGGCAGAGGGGAGTAGGGAGAGAGAGAAAGAGCAGCATGCACACATAGAGGGATAGAAAATACAAAGAGGGGGAGAGAAAAGTGGGGAGAGACCAAAATGTCTGGATTATATAGGCAAAAGCCTCTGGGGAAGGAGAAACCTATTACAGGTAGGGACCGAGGGATGCTGGGTGAATCTGGAGGCCAGGTATGTCTTGGTGTGTGAAGTATGCACCTCAGCCGTTTGTCCTGGGTATGAATCCCAACATCACACAAGTAAATGTTAGAACCAGGTGTTAGTCCCATCCATCGGGACCAAGGTGTCCAAGGCGATAAAGACAATGCTGTAGCAGAGGGGATAGCAGAAGCCAGATTGGCTGTGGAGTCTTGTTTAGACAGCCTCACTGTTTAGTGTGCCTGGGAGTAGGGAGGCATGTTGCAGCTCTAGATACTGCTGGAAGTGCAGGGAGAGACCCTGCCTGTCACAGCCAGAGGACAGTCAACCCTCTTCACCAAAGAAGAGAAACTAGGAATCTGGGTTTTAGAGAGACCCTGGCTGCATGGTGGGAAATCAATTGGCATCAGGGAGATGCTGAAAACAACAGGAACAAAGGTGGTCCTCTGACCAACATACCTAAATGCACATGCACCTGCACATACATGTGCATGGCCTTCATACACAAATGCATATGTACCCACACATACATGTGCATGGCCTTCATACACAAATGCACATGCACCCACACATACATGTACATGGCCTTTATGCACAAATACACATGCACCCACACATGCATGTGCACTTGAATGCACATATATGCACACTACACACTGGAAAATTTCAGCTTTGTGGCTTTTGTAAGACTGGAAGCTGTAGCACAGAGTGGCTGTAGTATCACATTGTGAAATATATCATGATAAGTGTGTGTGTGTGTCTGCCTGTGTGTGTGTTCAGCAAGCACTCATGTAGTTAACAGAGTCTCATGATCAACTGAAGGCCTTTTAAAAAAGCAGTGACTTCTCTGAGCAGCTCTACACATATTTACCAATAGGAACATAATTCTTATATATATATAAAAAAAAAGCTGTGTGGAAGAAAATCTTTGGTGAAAAAAGGTTAAGTTGGTCCCCCAAAGCCACATCCCACAGGCGCAGGCCTCTCAAGGTAGCACACCCCAGGAGACAGGGTCAGCTTCACCTGCAGGCCACCTAAAACCTCCAGAGCAAAGGCTACCTGAAGAAGAACTCACAGCTCACAATTAGAGAAACAGCATTAAGAGCTTTATCAATGCAAAGGGATTTAAGAGCTCAGGGGAGCAGGGCACAGCAGAGAAGTAATTAATTTCCCTGGTTGCTGTAGGCAGTGGGCTGGGACCCAGGTAGGGTGCAGAGAAACAATAAGATAACACTCTGGGAAAATAATGTTCAGAGGATATGAGTTTCCTCCTTTCCCTCCTCGATTGATTTAGAGGTGTGTCAATCACTAATAGCTAAGCTCCTGGAGGAAAGCTCAGAAGGATTCCAGAACAAGCCTCACACATAAATCCCACACAGCTTGCTGATAGACGCTAGGCTTGTTTTCCCTCCTATTCCCACCAACTCAGCCCTTATTCTCAGCTCCCTCATCTCATGCTACCTCCCCGCACCCCCTGTCCAAGCCAAATAATGTTCCCGAGGAAGGAAAGATAGTGGAGAAGGTCACGAAGGACTGGGAATTTCTGTACAAATAGGTAAGGGGCCAATGATGTCAAAATCACATAATGAGGGCAGGCATTGCCTAGAACAAATCAATCCCTGTTATGGGATACTATTCCTCTGGAGATGTGACATAAATGTCTGTTCACCTCAGTTATGAAACGAATAACATTCCAAAGTAATGATACTACTTGTGGTGCTCTGTATATGCTTGGCCTATGGGAAGGTATGGCCTCATTGAAACAGAGATGGCCTTGTAAGTGGAAATGCATCACTGTGAGGTGGGCTTTGGGGGCCTATGCACAAGCTCCACCCAGTGTGGAAGAGACCTCATCCTGGCTGCCTGCAGAAGATAGTTCCCTCCTTGCTGCCTTTGGATCAAGATGTAGAAGACTCTGCTC